CACAGCAAGTGGTGAGGCGTTTAGATGCATAGAAGTCAACAGTAATTTTGTCGTTTATGGTGTGATTCCCATTTCAGAAGTTATATCAAATAGTTAATATAACTTTGCCTTCAGTGAGGTGTGTCAGCATTCAGGCTATCCACTAGCTTTATAAGCAATCCCTTAGCTACCTCAACATTAACTGGTAATGTGTTCAGAAGATTTCCAGTCCTATGTTTAACATCATTTTCTAGAAACAGGGCTAGGAGTATCATCACAGAGCATCCGAGCATCCCACATGGGAAGAGTACAGCCTAAAAGGCAGCACAGCTAGGTCATAGTACCTATTCTTATCACCTATTAGGCTCTGTGACCTTGACTAACCTAACTCCTTCAGGCCTAAGATGCTCAATCTGTAAAACAGGGATAGCATCAATGGCCTAAAAATCCCTTCTAACTCTAAGATCTGATATTCTGACTTGGGATTCCAACACCTCTGGTCAATGTGAAATACATAAAGGATATCTAATGAAATAAAAAGAAGCTCTACATATAAGCCCAGCACGGAGTAGGGTTTCAACTGAATCATATTCTGCAGGGAATTGTGGCCTACACATGTGACTACATCTTTAGTTCAGTTATACAAAGATGTAAAAACATGTCATAATCATAAGCTAAAAATGAAGGGACCTTAACATTTAGTCATCTTATCCAATATTTCTTCTCCTACTTCCTCCCACAAATGGGGGCTCGATAGCATTCTACCATCTGATGCAAGACTTAGTATTAGAGTTCAAGAGAAAAACACATACATACAAGAAGACAGCTCTGCTGAGTAAGATTTTATACCATCAATGAGGCTAACTCTAAAACAGTAAAGACTTAAAATCATAGCAGAAAGGAGAAACTCTGGAAGTCTTACCTCAAGATTTACCATAACAAAATTATGGGAAAGTTCTGAAATTTCTGTAGATTCTGCAAATTTGGGCTTTAAAGCTAGGGGGAAGAAAAGATTTTGGAACAGAAGAAAACGTCATTGTCATACCCAAACCCTAATTTGCTGAGATGATTCATATAAATGACCCTTTTGCTAATCTTAAGACCCAGAAATTAGGACACTTGAATTCTGGTCCTGCTTCTGCCATTTACTTGCATAGTTATGTACACTTAAGTGGCTGACTTTATTTCTCTTAAGCTTTCATCTAATTTATAAAATATAGATAACGGCATACTGACAAAAAAATTATTACTATTGGCTTTTTTACGTATTTCAATAACATCTATTTACAAATAGATGTAATAAAGACAATAGAGTAACAATAATCTACCACTAATGTATATATATTATTAAACTAGCAATTTACACTAATTTTATACTCTTTTTCCTACATGATTTTATTAGGTGTAGCATACCAAACAAAAGGAGGAATCTGACTGGGAAGTGGCAGGCTGGTATACCAGAAAGAATACAGGCTACAAAGTAAGAAAACCTGGGCTCTAATTTGGTTCCCACCTCCTCCAGTAAGACCACTCCTCATGTCTCTCTCTGTTACATACAACTGTCCATACAACTATTGTAGCACCTGATCCCATATTCTACATAACCATATCTTAATTGCCTCACCCTCCAACCCCTTGCAAATACAACTGCAAATTTCTTGAGGGCAGGCAATCTATACCATAAATTTCTTCGGTATTCCTTCAAGCAATAAGCAGTGCTGAGCCAAAGTTAGTGTTAATATATTTTAAACATTAATAGTTGAGAACACATCTGAGGTCTGATCATTTGCACCTACCTTTGCAAGCTCCACACCAGGACTTATGGATAATCACCATCAGGGGTAATCCACTTAAAAACAAAATGAAGAAATTATAATCTAGTAATTCCACTTCTTGAAATATATTCTAATAAAATGACCAACCAATGAAGACAAAGATTAATGTACAAGGCTGTTCATGTAGTATAATTTCAATAAGAAAAATTTTAAGACAATCTATTCAATAATAGTGGACTATTACAACAAAATTATTGCTAAGTTCTGACATTCCAGTAAATTCTGCAAATTTGGGCTTTAAAGCTAGGGAGAAAAGACTGTAGAAGAAAACAACAAATTACAGCACTTCTAAATGTTATGGTTGTATAACCACTGAAACGTTAATGAAATTTTTCATTGGTACACTGTTAAAGGCTAGAATATAAAATTATTATCTATAGTTTAGTTTTAATTATACAAATATGTAGAAAAGAGTCTAAAAGGAAATGTTCCAAAACATAATAGAGGTTATCTCTGGATAATGGGATTGTGGGTTTTACTATACTTATCCTGTATTTTCCAATTTTTCTACAATTAAGTGTTTTTTTGTTTGTTTTGCCACACCATGCGGCTTGTGAGATCTTAGTTTTCCAACCAGGGATTGAATCCGAGCAGCGACAGTGAAAGCACCAAGTCCTAACCACTGGAGCACCAGGGAATTCCCAATTAAATGTAATTTTTATAATCAGGGAGGAAAAAGCTTTTTCTTTCATAAAATAATAAGCAACATATTCCACCTGAATCAGTCTTGGCCAGCTGAAGCTCTTACACTCTCAAGGCTCAAAGGCCGACTTGTAGAAGGGTCCTATGTAATCAGACGTTGGCTTTCTCCATCATCCAACCCCCATATCACCACATCACCACCTGCTGTACGATACTATCACAGCATTTAACACATTGAACTGTATCTTTTATTTACCACATTGAACTGTATCTTTTTATTTACTTAGAGCTTCTTAAGGAAGGAACTCTTAGCTGCCTCTATACTCCCTACACCTAATATAGAGAATAATATTACTGGTAGCAAAAACTTATACAGCATTTACTGTGTACCAGGTACTATTCTAAATATATATAAATTAATTTAGTAAGTGTCAAATGAATTAGTCAGCTATCTCATCATAGGCCTACTACAAATCTGGGACAGAATGGTGCCTCTAATACTTGTAAAAGCTTATAAACTAAATGAGCAGGACAAGGTTAGGTAAGAAGTGGGATCTATATAGCCATAATAGTAATAGCCAAATGTGCTAAACATTTATTATATGACATTGTTGTATGTGCTTTACACACATTATCTCATTTAAATTCTCACAACAGGGCTTCCCTGATGGCACAGTGGTTAAGAATCTGCCTGCCGGGGCTTCCCTGGTGGCGCAGTGGTTGGGAGTCCGCCCGCCGATGCAGGGGACACGGGTTCGTGCCCCGGTCCGGGAGGATCCCACGTGCCGCGGAGCGGCTGGGCCCGTGAGCCATGGCCGCTTAGCCTGCGCGTCCGGAGGCTGTGTTGCGCAACGGGAGAGGCCACAACACTGAGAGGCCCGCGTACCGCAAAAATAAAAAAATAAAAAAAATAAAAAGAATCTGCCTGCCAATGCAGGGACATGGGTTCGAGCCCTGGTCCGGGAAGATTCCACATGCTGTGGAGAAACTAAGCCTGTGTGTCACAACTACTGAGCCTGCACTCTAGAGCCCGCAAGCCACAACTACTGAGCCTGTGTGCCACAACTACCGAAACCCGTGCACCTAGAGCCTGTGCTCCACGATAAGAGAAGCCACTGCAATGAGAAGCCTGTGCACCGCAACAAAGAGTAGCCCCCGCTCACCGCAACTAGAGAAAGCCCGCACGTAGCAACAAAGACCCTACACAGCCAAAAATAAATAAATAAATTTATATATATATAAAAATCCTCACAACAATCCTAAGGTAATGGTCTCATAATAGAAATGAGAAAACTGAGACTTCCAAGAAATTAAACATTTGGCCACATAAATTCTAGGTTCTGCCACTTAGTAGTTAACTTGTAAGTCTGACTCCAGAATCAATATTCTTTTTGACCACTATCGTCTACTTCAATTTAGAACAGCAATCTAGAATCCATGGGTTTAAACCCAATCAACTGATAATCAACTAACTTGGAATTTGAGAATGAAGATGGAAGAGGCCTTAGATGCTGCCTAGTCCAAACCTCCATTTCATGCAGGAATCCAGTCTCATATATCAGAAACAAAAGGTAGTCCAGATAACCTGATAAGCAAGAAATAATCACCAACCAAGGCAGCCCATCCTTTTAACAGCACGGTGTACTTACAGAACAGTTTAGAATGTCTTGCTTTCTCTTTTCTCTCAAGCAAACTCCTATTCATCCTTTTAGAGCAGAGGTAAGCAAACTAGTCTGCAGGCCTAATCCAGCCCACTGCCTGCTTCTGTATGGCAATTATATACAAACATATACAAACATGTTTTTTTTTTAACATTTTTAAATGTTTGAAAAACAAATCTGAAGTATAGTACCTTGTGATATATTAAAATTAAATATAATTCATATTTCAGTGTAACTAGTTTTATTAAAACACATTCACACTCATCTGTATACTTATTGTCTGTGGCTGCTTTTGTGCTACCATGGCATAGTTGATAAGCTGCAACAGAGACCCTATGGCCCTCACAGCCTAAAATATTTACTGTTTGGCCCTTTCCTGACCCTTGCTCTAGAGTGACAGTCCAAATGTACACACCTCTGTGCAGCCTTCCCCAAACCACCACCTCTCAACAGCTAGTCAGTCCAATTCCTCCTCTGGGATCGCAAAGCATTCTAACCGCCAGTCCTTTTTATCCTCTAATCACCTGTTTACTTGTCTAAACTACTAACTTCTCAAGGGCAAAGACTATCTAATACATCTTTGAAAAACACAAGCACTGGTAAGGTAGGTACCTACCATTTGTTTACTGAAATCAATGAAAAAAATGAAAGACAAGCTTAAAGTGCTATTTGTCTTGAAAAACAGAATTAAGCACCCAGTTATGGGAGTTGTCATAACAGTCACTCTAGGTTAAGACCAAAGCATCGAGACTCTCACCCAGCACTATGAAAGTACTTTTGATCAAAGGCATAACAGGGATACCTGTGTAACTAAAATGTTACATTAAGTAAATTACATGAAGAACATAAAGCAAAAGAGATGCCAGCACACTGTCTTCATCTAAAAGATTTTATTAAATGAAACAATCTAGTGGTTTTGTCTTTCACCATTAGAACAAAAGCTTCCCAAGGACAGAAACCAGTGGATCTATCTGTGATCCCAGGCCCCAGGACAGAGACTAGCAAAAAGTAGGCACAGTACTCAAAAAACTGTGGTATGAAAAAAGGGCCAGTACAGATGCAAAACTGTTGTCATCTTCAGTTCTGTTCACAATTATTTTAAAACAATTCATCCATCCAGTCTGCTTTCCCACAATTCAGATGGGGGAAATCAATGGTGTGTGCTATCCCAAGTAGAACCCAATCTAAGTAAACCCTGTCCACCAGAGCTCTGTCCTCTAGAGAAACTTGCCAAGCTCCTCCAAGCTAGTGCTCCATTCTCTCTAGTCTCAATTTATGCTGTAAACTCAAGGCCTGGCACAGAGGCATTCAGAAACGTATGAGTGAATCGGTCGCAATAGCTCTATTTCCACGCATCAATATATTCTGCAGACCTTCAGATTATTCTTCCCAGAGAAACAGAGAGTGCAGTGGTTAAGACAAGGAGCCATGACTTTCCCCCACCAGCTCTGGTTAGTGCAGGCTCTGGCTCAGATACTGCAGAAACATGTTGGCCAGTTGAGGCAGGTTCTCATTGTTGGGATGCATTTTACTGTAAGAAATAAACTGGCGACGGAGGCGACTCAGTTCTGCCATGGTCAAAGGCCGGGTAAACCGCAGGTGCTCTGTGGTGCCAGAAAGCTTAAGCAAGTCTCCAGGGACTGCGCTCTTCTGAGCTTCCATCAGCCCTGCCAACACCTGGCTGGTGACCTGGTCCAACTGGTGCAGAAAAGTGCCGGAGGCAAGTGGCTGTGACTGTGTAGACTGATGGGGTGGAGGAGCCCGGTTCTCAAACAAGGCAGCTCTCATCTCTGACAGAGGCAACGGTTCCTCTAAGCCTACCAAGGTGAACAGGGGCCGGTCCCAGCGGTTCCGAGAGTCGGGAGCTTCGAAGCGCAGCGCTAGGGCCTCCAGAAGTTCGGGAGGGTAAAAGGCACCGGACACATGCTCTGCAGACTTCTCGAATTCCGAAGTCACAAGAGCTGGAAAATCTGGCGTCCTGGTTTCCTCCCGCTCCAGTTCCTTGGGTACTTCTGCCTGGGCTCTCCCATTTACTACAGAGTCCACTGCCTGCAGTTCCCCGAGGACACCGGTGCCCGCCGCCAGAGGTCTCCCTCCCTCCTCAGCTCGCGGCCTCCAACTCACACTGACATTGCGGCTCGGACTCTCATCCGCGCCCGCCACCCGCGGTCCCCCGCTCAGACCGCCTGGCCTTACGCAGTAGACCAGGCAGAGCGGAGTGCGCGCCGCCCGCGCCAGGCAGTACAGCTCGTAGCGGAAGCCCTTGATGTAATTAAGCGAGTCGAGGATGACCACTTCGTGGCGACTCAGGCGCCGCTCCACGGCCGCTCGCAGGGCCCCACGCAAGGCCTTCTCACGGGCCGAATCGCCGTACACTGTCGCGTCCTCCGCGCCCAGCACCTCCGCGTCGTCCACCACGTACACCGCGCGGCCCTCCGCCGCCAGTGCCACGCGGAGCTCCTCCGCGCGCCTGCTCTTGCCGCTGTACGGCAGCCCGCAAAACACCACCAGCGGCATCCTCCCAGGGCGCGGCCATGTGCAACCGCGCAGGGTCAACTTCCGGGTTGCCGGCTGCTCCGACGCAAACCGGAAATGCAAGCCACACTTCCTGCCTCCCTTGACTCTTACAGGACCTCTGTTGCTATGGAAACAGGACTTCTAGACCAACGAGAGCGAGATCCCGCTCTCTCCGAAAGGAGATGGAGCTTAGAACGGCATCGGCTATTTCTGTCAAATGTTATACGTCTCAGGAGAATGTGATCTCCTGGCGGCCAAAGACTATGGTCATCAATTTATAATGGAGCCTTAAAGAACATTAAATATTGCAAAACAATCAGCACTATATTTAGCAAATGGAGGACAATTCACAAATACTAGTTCCCCTTCATTCCTTATAGCCAATAATATTCAGTAACTGTTTATTCAATAACCATTTCAATCATTCAATATCTTCATGGTTGGGAATTCAGAGATGAACATAAAACAGTCCCCCGACAAAGCAAGGGTCTGAATGGGAAAAGTCAGGCACCTACAGGCAGAATAACATACACTCTAACGGATAGAGGTAGGTTGGGTTGTAAAAGTACAGAAGAGAAAAACAAAATGCCCACAAAAATTGCCCAAGACTTTACCTAGGAATAGTCATTTGATTTAGAACGTGAAAAACTAATAGGAATTTTTCTCCTGGGTAAGGATGCCAGATAAAATATAGGATGTCTAGTTAAATTTGAATTTCAGACAATCAACAAAAAGTGTTTTTAAAATAAGTATATCTCAAATATTACTTGGGGCATATTTAAAATTACTTATTGTTTACCTGAAATTCAAATTTAACTGGGCATCCTTTATTTTTATTTGCTAAATCTGGCAACCCTACTCCTGCAGAAGGTATGAGGCTCAGAGCCATGAAGCTGTAGGATCTGTTCTAGCAAAAGCAAGCACTGTAGTTTGGTAGGTGTAGAAGTGTGAGTATTTCTGTGCAAGGATGTATGTGTATAAAGGAAGTGCACATACATTATATCTTTATATCTCTCTAGTACAGTATAGTAGAGAATGTTCAAGTCTTGGCTCTGCTACTTACTTACTAGCTGTGTAAATGATTGTCAAGTTATGTAACCATTCTGTATCTAAATTTCCTCTCCTGTAAAATAACAATGGTTCTTATTTCACAGGCTGAACCAACCTCACAGGTTGTGAGGATTAAATAAATGAATGAATATAAAGCACTCAGATCAATGTTTAGCCTTTCCTCCCCTGTTCTGCCTTTTCCTCCTCCTTTGTATAAGTCTTCTGTGCATAGACTAAACCTACTTGGAACTTAAGACTATTCAACTTGAGACTATTAGGCAGTATGGCTTACTGGCTGAGTGTAGGCTCTGAAGCCAGAGTGTCTGGGTCCAGATCTTGGCTCCACCACTTAACTAGCTGTGTGATCTTGGGCAAGTTATTTAACTGATCTATGCCTTAGTTTTCTCATCTGTAAAATGAAGATAACAACAGTACCCACCTCAAAAGAGTTGTTGTGAGAATTAAATGAGTTAATTCACATAATTCAATGTCTGGTGCATAGTAAGCACTTAATAAATGTTAGGTAGTATTATTATTTTTGTTGTTATCAGGCAGCCCCTCCATTGCTCTGCCTTGGCATAATCCTTCACCTGAAATTAATGCTATGTTGATGGCTGGAAAGTGTTTTACCACCATAAGTAACCTAAAACCATATCTTGTACCTGGCAGCTGCTTCTTTCTTCCCATCTTCTAGTGTCCTCCAATGAATGTGATCTCCAAAACCTGGAAGGAAAGAGCCTCATAAACATTCACACATGAACAAAGGGCAAAGACCCAAGAAAGAAATGTGGCATGTTCACAAGATACTCATAAAAAAAAAGGCTTTCCTTTGTCAAAAGCATGGTATTCAAGTCCCAAATCCACTGCTTTCTAGGTGTATGGGACCATGGACAGTCCTATACCTCAAGCCTCAGTTTTCATACCTGTAAAATGGAGATAATATCACCTAATTCCATTTTTAAGGGATTAAATTAAATAATGGTGGACTTCCCTGGTGGTGCAGCAGTTAAGAATCTGCCTGCCAAGGCAGGGGACACAGGTTCGAGCCCTGGTCCGGGAAGATTCCATATGCCGTGGAGCAATTAAGCCCATGCGCCACAACTACTGAAGCCCACATGCCTAGAGCCCGTCCTCTGCAACAAGAGAAGCCACCGCAATGAGAAGCCCTCACACTGCAACAAAGAGTAGCCCCCGCTCACTGCAACTAGAGAAAGCCCACAAGCAGCAGCAAAGACCCAACACAGCTAAAAGTAAAATTAATTAATTCATTAATTATTTTTTAAAAAGACCTAAATGTAAGACCTGAAACCATAAAACTCCTAGAAGGGAACATAGGTAGAACACTCTTTGACATAAATCGTAGCAATATTTTTTTGTATCAGTCTCCTAAGGCAAAAAAAATGAAAGCAAAAAGGAACAAATGGGACCTTATTAAACTTAAATGCTTTTGCACAGCAAAGGGAACCACTGACAAAACAAAAAGACAACCTAACAAAATGGAAAAAAAAATTGCAAATAATATGACCTATAAGGGGTTAATATCCAAAAATATATAAACAGCTCATACAGCTCAATATTAAAAAAACCAACAACCCAATTAAAAAATAGTCAGAGGATTTGAATAGACATTTTTTCAAAGAAGATATAGAAATGGCCAATAGGCACATGAAAAAATACTCAACATCACTAGTCATCAGGGAAATGCAAATCAAAACCACAATGAGATATCACCTCACAGCTTTCAGAATGGCTATCTTGAAAAAGACAACAAATAATAGATGTCGGAGAAGATATGGAGAAAAGAGAGCCCTTGCACACTGTTGGTGGGAATGTAAATTGGCACAGTCATTGTGGAAAACAGTATGGAGGTCCCTTTAAAAATGAAAAATAGAACTACTATGTGATCCAGCAATTCCACTCCTGAGTATATATCTGGAAAAAATCGAAAACTAATTCAAAAAGATACATGCATCCCAATGTTCATAGCAGCATTATTTACCAACAGCCAAGATATGAAAGCAACCTAAATGTCCATCAACAGATGAATGGATGAAGAAGATGTGGTATATACGGGGGAATTCCCTGGCAGTCCAGTCATTAGGACTCAGCACCTTCACTATGGTGGCCCAGGTTTAATCCCTGCTCAGAGAACTAAGATCCCACAAGCCACGCAGTGTGGCCAAAAAGAAAAAAAAATTATATATACATATAATATATACTTTATATATATATAATGGAATATTACTCAGCCATAAAAAAGAATTAAATTTTGCCATTTGCGCCAACATGGATGGACCTGGAGAGTATTATGCTAAGTGAAATAAGTCAGACACAGAAAGACAAATACTCTATGTTTTCACTTATATGTGGAATCTAAAAACTAAAAGAAATGAATGAATATAACAACAACAACAAAAAAAGAATTTAGAACAGTGTCTGGGACTGGAGAATTGCTACAAGTATTTGCTATTAATATAATATACCAGGCACTATTCTAAGTACTTTACCAATATTGATCTTCATAACAATCCTAGAGGTAGGTACTCTTACTAATACCATTTTACAGATGAGAAAACCAAGGCACAAAGTTTAAGTAACTTTCCCAAGTTCACACAGCTAATGAGCATCAGAGCTGGAAACTGAACCTATGCACTCAGGGTCCAGACTCCTTACTTTTAAGCACTAAACAATGCTGTCCTTCAAAGCAGAAGGAGGTAAGGACAAAGAGGCAAGGGAGGAAGTAGACAATGCAGGGCCTGATAGGCCACTATAAAGATTCTGGCTTTTACTAAGCTCTTAGTGGGTTTTGAGCAAAGTATCAATAGTAACATGATGTGATTTCTGTTTTAACATGATTGCTCTAGCTTCTATGATGAAAACAGACTAAAGGAAGTGTTATGGGTTGAACTGTGTCCCTCCAAAAATGCTATGTTGGAGCCTTAATCCCCAGTACCTCAGATTGTGACCTTATTTGGAAATAGGATCTTTATGGAGGTAATCAAGTTAAAATGAGGTCATCAGGGTGAGACCTAATCCAATACGGTGTCCATATAAAAAAGGGAAATGTGGACACAGATATTCACACAGGGAGAGAACCCAGCCATCTATAAGGAGAGAGCCCTGGCACAGACCCTTCCCTCAGCCTTTAGAAGGAACCGATACTGCCAATACCTTGATTTTGAACTTCTAGTCTCCAGAACTGTGAGACAATAAGTTTCTGTTGTTTAAGCCACTCAGTTTGTGGTGCTTTGTTATTGCAGCCCTAGCAAACTAATACAGTAGAGAAAGGCAAACACAAAAGAGACTAGGAAAGTGGTTAATGCAATAATCCAAGCATGCAATGACAGTGGTTTAGACCAACTGTGGTGGTAGAGGGAGTAGATCCTATCAGATTCTGGACATATTTTGAAGGTAAAGGCAAAAGGATTTTGTTCTGGATATGGGGTGAGAGAAGTTAAGGATGACTCTAAGGTTTTTGGCCTGGGCAACTAGAAGAATGGAGTTGTCGTTAATAGAGATGGGAAAGAGAGTAGGTGGAGTGAGTTTTAGAAAGGAACATTAAAGAGCTTGGATTTGGAAATGTTCATTTTGAGATGCTTACTAGACATCTAAGTAGAGATGCTGAATAAGCAACTGAATATCTGAGCCCGGAATTCAAGGGACAGTTATCAGCATACGGATGTTATTTAAAGCTTAAGACTGAATAAGATCACCATGGGAGTGAGAGTAGATGAAGAGGGAGTCCAGGAGCCCTGGAGCACTCCCAGGTTAAGGGAGATAAAGAAGAACCCGCCAAAGACATGAGAAAGAACTACCAGTGATATCAGCAGAAAACCACCAGCACATGGAATCCCAGAAGCCAAGTGTTTCCAAGATGTCTCAAGAAGGAAGGATGACCCACTGACACCAATGCTCCTATTAAATCAGAAATGACCACTGGATTTAACAAGTGGAGAATAATGCTGACCTTGACAAGACCAGTTTCAATAGAGGAGAGAGGATGAAAAGATGATTAGAGCAAGA